CTCCCCCCTTGCCCTCCCGGAGCCGGCGGGTGCTGGAGCCGTGGCAGCATCACATCATGGGGGCCCGGGGGATGGCGTCCTGCGGGTGCGGCTGGTACCAGGCTCCAAAGCTGTTGATGTAGCTGCTGGGGGCCAGGGGGGCCCCTTTGCCCGGCACGGGGATGTCCCAGAGCGGAGGGATGTTGGGGGAGCAGGGGGAGAGGGAGGCAGCGGTGTGGAGGTGCTCCCCGTCGGGCGCGCTCGAGCCCTGCTTCATGATCTTCTTGTACTTGGAGCGCTTGTTCTGGAACCAGATCTTGACCTGTGGGAGAGAGAGGGGTGAGTGGGGAGGAGGGGGTCTGTGGCCAATGCCCCCCCATAAACCCCCGGCATTAATAATGACAGACCCCTCTGGCGTCCCCGTCTCCCCCATCTACACCTGCCCTTTCCAGGGGGCACAGACGGTTTGGCATGGGGGTCTATGAGATAAGCTGGGCTCTGAGCCCAACCCCTTACAAGCCACCAGAGACTCCACTAAGGGCAGCTGGAGGAGAATGTGGGAAGAGGCACAGGGAGCCCAGACAAACGTGCGATAAATGGAGAGCAAGCCGTGCACATCCCCATGTGTCCCCACGTCCCCCCCTCCGGCACGGGCTGTGGCCCCCACCAGCCCAGCCAGGTGCCGGGTGCCGGGGCTGGGCCGGGGTGCGGCGCAGTGGGGCCCGCCGCGCTGGGGTGGTGGCCCCGCTCATTCCTCCCCGCGGTCCCCCCCGCGCTGCCGGCAGGTTCCCACTTGCCTCTTCTTCCCCGGCTTTATGAGCTCGCTTCGCCCCTGGCTCCGGGCTGCACCGCTGCCGCCTGCCTGTCTCTCCCCATCGTCTTCAAAAACCCACTCGCCCCCCGCGGCCCAGGGCGCCGCCCAGCACCGGGCACGGCCGGGCCGGCAGCCAGGCTCCAGGGCTGGGAAAGTCCCGGTGCCGCTAGGAGGTGCGAGCAGGGGCGCCCCAAACCTGAGCCCCGGGGGCCCACCGGCGCCAGCTCCCCCGCCGCGGCACGGCACGGCTCGGCACAGTTCCAGTTGCACCCCGGCATCATGACGCAGCCTTAATCCAGAGTCGCTCCCGGAGCAGCGATGGGCACGAGCCCCCTGCGTGGCGCATCCCCAGGGCCGTGACCATCCCCTCGCCCCCTCGCAGGGGGCCGTACCTGGGTCTGGGTGAGCCCCAGCTGGGCTGCCAGCTCGGCGCGCTCCGGCAGCGCCAGGTACTGGGTCTGCTGGAAGCGCTGGTTGAGGGCTTGCAGCTGCAGGCTGGAGTAGATGGTGCGCGGCTTGCGCAGCTTCTTCCCCTTGCCGTTGATGCGCAGCTCCCCGTTGGCGACGGCCGGGGGCTTCTCGTGCTCTTGGGGTGGGAGAGGAGCAGAGAGTTAAACCAACATGCTGGGAGGTTAAAAAAAAAAACCAACAACCCCAAACCGTCCCACCCCGGCCCTGGGGGCTGCAGCAGGTTTTGCTTTTTGGAGGTTAGTTTTGGAGGGGAGGGGGAATAAGTAGGGGGGGACCTGCTTTTGCTGTGCTGGTGTGTTTAAGCCCCAGGTAAAGCAAAGGGGAAACAGGAGGAGGAAGGGAGGGATGGGATTATTCATTCAATATCGCTACACAAGCACAAAAGCGGGCAGGCCACAGGCCCCTCTGCCGTGCACCCAATGGGGGAGCCGGGCAGGGCCCCACGGGGCGACGGAGGGGGCAGCAGGACAGACTGCGCAGCCCTGGGGGCCCTTGCTGTGGGCACGCTGCTCCCCGGGGCTGCAGTGAGCCCCCGGGCAGCCCCTCGCTGTGAAGTCTGTGCTCCCACCCTGGACCATCTCCTCCCCGCTCCGTGCCTTTGAGCATCCCTGGGTCCTTCTTGGGCCACGTGGCTTGGACGGGGCAGAAACCCGCCGGGGCTCAGAGGACAGACTGCGCAGCCCTGGGGGCCCTTGCTGTGGGCACGCTGCTCCCCGGGGCTGCAGTGAGCCCCCGGGCAGCCCCTCGCTGTGAAGTCTGTGCTCCCACCCTGGACCATCTCCTCCCCGCTCCGTGCCTTTGAGCATCCCTGGGTCCTTCTTGGGCCACGTGGCTTGGACGGGGCAGAAACCCGCCGGGGCTCAGAGGGGCACCGGGGACGAGGTGGTCCCCCGGCTCAGCAGCACGGGGCTGATGTGGGTGAGCGTGTCTGCGCATCCACGTACGCCCTGCACACAGTCTGCTCTGGCCACAGCCATGGCTCTCCGGAGCTGATGAGGGGCCAACAGGGCCTGGGGGCTTAACCGGGCTCGGGACCCCTCTGTGGGGCAGCCTGGGGGCTGCTTCTCTCCGGGGCGGCTCAGCTTGCAGTTTCCTGCATCAGGTTTTGGGGAAAACAGTGGGGAACGGGGATGCGATGGGGCAGGGAGCTGAGATCGGAGCGTGTTGGCGGTGGGGCAGAGGGCAGAGTCTGCCCGGCCCCGGTGGGCACAGGGTGCAGGATGCGGGCAGCCGGGGGTCTCAGGGGCAGGATGCGGGCAGCTGGGGCTCTGATGCTCCCCATCCCCGGGGTTTCTTGCAACCACGCAGTCACCCATCCGCACGGGGCTCCGGCGAGTCCG